AAAGAGTATAAGTGAAGTGCTCATAACAAGGCTTGACTGACTATTGTGAAGATGTCACACTAACGCCCATTAAAGCTTTAATGCAGTCCAGCCAATATCTGAGTAAACATTTTTTTGAAGGGGATAAAATGATTCTAAAATTTACATGGGAGAATAAATAAAAACAGAACGATCTTCTCTTCTCAAGGCATTAGTAATATAGATATCACAGGAGTTGGCAAACTAGAGCCTGCAAGCCAAATCCAGACTGCTGCCTGTTTTTGTAAATAAAGTTTTATTAGGAAGCAGCCACAGTCATTCATTTACATTGTTTATGACTGCTTTCATGCTGCTGTGAATAGTTGCAACTGAGACTATGTGGCCAGATGCATCTGGCCCTTTACAGAAAAACTTGGCAACTTCTGTTCTACCGCATTTGGCAGAAAGAGAATAGAGCTAAGTCCAGACTCGTTCCTGTGTACATATTGGAATGCAACATAATCATTCCCAGCAACTGGGAGTAGGAAAATTGGCTCACAGAAGGAGAAAAATGAAACTATTTCCATATTGCATACCCTGAACAAAGTTCCAAGTGGATTAAATACCTAACTACTAAGGGTGAAAATATTGATAGAAAGCTGATAGAAGAAAATAATAGGGGCAGGTATGTGTGTGTGTGTGTGTATATATATATATATATATATATACACACATATGTACATATATACACACAAATATGAATATATACACACACTGTATATATATATACACACAAATATGTGTATATATATATACACACAAATATGTGTATATATATATACACACACATATATGTATATACTGTATATATACACAAATATGTGTATATATATACACACACACATACATATATATGCATATATATATTTTTAAATTTGCTATAGGATGTGTACGCTCACCAAAGAGAGACCGAGGAAGAGAGAGAGAGGGTAAGCAAGTAAGAAAGCAACCCCCAGTATAGTTGACCATGTTGCAATGCCTTCTCCTCTGTTCTCTTTAGATTTGGGGCAGGGAGCAGCAGTTGGCATAATGGCTATGTTGCTGGACTCCCATATAGTTGACCGTGGCTTAAACTCATGCTGGACGTGTGTGCATATGTTCCCAAGATCCTGAGAGGAGAATGGAGAAGGGATTGCAACGTGGCCATCCCCCCCGGGGGGGGGTGATTTCTTGCTTTCTGTCTCTCTCTGTCTTTCTGGCAAGCTTACACACCCTATAGCAGAAACTTGTCAAAAAAAAAAAAAAAGATTTTGGGCATACATACACATGCACCTGGGATGCTTTTCAAGCTGCTGAGTCTGGTACTTGAATAGCACAGTAGTCTATGTGGGATCCAGCAGTCTTAACCACCATGACACTTGATGGCCTGAAATTTGTATTTTATAACCTAATGGTAGAGAAGGATTTGTTATATAATATTCACAGAGCATGAACTACAAAAAGAAAATTAATGAATTTGAAGGCATCAAAATGCATGCTTATCTTTATATGGCAGGAGCAACATAAAAATTGACACATTGAAAATTTACAGGTGAAAATAAAATAATCATATCTAACAGACTACAGCCAGTGTTTTGAATATAAGAGGGAATCTGGAAAGTCAAGAAATGAAAGGGGGAGATCGATATAAAAGAAGACAAAGTATATGAATTAGCAATTACTAGAAGGAGAAACGTGCATACCACTATTGGAGCCTAGCAAATGAAAAAGAGATCCATTTATCCTAACACATGGTTAAGTGCCTGGGATTAGATGCTATCAAGTGCTGTCAAGGATGTGAGAAAATAGAAATCTTCATGTTTTGGGGCTAAAAATCAAACTGGTACATATATTTTAGAAAATCTCAGTTTATATGTGACCTAAAATCCAATAATGAGGTTGTACTACAGTATAGTCAGAGGAATATATGTAAGGTTGGCCATCTGTGTCATTTGTTGTAAAACAGTATAGTCAAGCTAGTCCTGTAGCGCTATAGGAATACAAAGAAAAAGCACAGTGAAATGTGGTGAGAGGGAAAAAATAGTGAGAAGTTACTTAGGAGTACATGGATGAGTTTCTATAATAATATAGACAAGATGGCAGAATGAGATCTAAAACATAAAAGTTATATGTGAATTAAAAACCCATGTTTAACTTTCGCGTATTTTGAAATGTGTAATATATGTACATAAACATTTAAATAGAATTCTAAATACTCCATTAAATATGAGAAAGTGACTTCCTGTGGTGGTAGGGTAAAGGATGGGGCTGAGTTTATAGGATGAAGAGGAAATTTAAAAAAACAAACAAGTAAGAAAAGAAAAACAGAAGAGCCTTTCATGGACTCATGATAATAATAGCCGATCAACTGGAATCTAAGCTTAAGTCAGTTCTGTACAATTAACCTCAAGAAGAAGCAGACTTCAGGGACAGCACCCCTAGCACTGCTAGAGCCAGCTGTTCAGACAGTATCATTATGTATAATTCTCTCTGAGCCTTGGCTCTGTTCACCTCCGTGTTGGCTCTAGTATCAGGCAGACACTCTTTAGTGAAACCTCAAGCTATTTCAAGGTCACATTTGGGGGGGGGTTGTTGAAAAAGTCATGGCATATATTTCTTTTCCTACACAAAAATACGTCATGACTTTTTCAACCACCCAATAGCTGGGTAGCCCAGCTGAAAGAAAAAGCCCTTTTCCCCACAGTATCAGTGATACTCCACTGATAGATAACCTTGCCTATTATTGGCTCATTGTGTGTCCTGTGTCTGCACTTGAACCATTCTTATGACAGAGGATTAAGGGGCCTGGGTTGCTGGCCCATTCCTAGGACCAGAGTAGAAGAGCCTCATGTGTAAAATATGGTGGGATATCACATAAAGAAAAATCAGGTATTGTTCTAACTATAAAAAGTGAATGCTTAGGAGGTAGATAAACACAGGTAGCTACTAGTGACTTGACTCAATGGAGTTGACTATCTTAGGAAGAATGGATAAACATCCCATAAATGGGTATATTCAGGGAAGGGCCAAAGGATTAAGAGGATAGTTGAGTTTAGTTAGTGGTTTGAATCACCTGGACAGCTTATTAGAGAAAGACTCAGCAACTTGTGCTTTAAGAGTTTCTCATTGGCAAGTATGGGGTGGGACTAAAAATTTTGCATAAATTTCCATGTTGATAGTTCTAGTCAAGGGAGCACACTTTGAGAACCAATGGGTTAAATGATTTTTGACATCCTTACTAAACCTTCATTTTTATGAGGTAGCTATAAATGTTTTAAAAATCAGTGTCCATATCATTGAGGCAAACCTTCCTGTCTGATTTCTTTAGCACCTAAACTGTGTTGTGTTTGACCGTGTGAATGGTTTTATAGTAGATGACATTTGTATACCCTCTCTGTGTCTTTTGTGTCATTGAGAACCTACGAATCATTGAATATTGTGCCTTTATTGGTAATGCTTTATAAAATATCCAAACACTTTCTTTTCTTTTTTAAATTTGCTAGAGGGTGTATATACTGACTAGAGAGAAATAGAAAGAGAGAAAGGCAAGTTGAGCAAGCAATCCCATGGGGCATGGTCATGCCATAGTTCCTTCTTGATTGCTCCGTCTTGTGGGGATCTGGGCACACATGCACACATGGCTGGAGTGTCTGCCAAGCAGTGGGGTCTGGGACTCCAGTTGCACAGTTGGCCATGTGGGATCTAGCCACTTTAACCATTAGACCCTGACCAAGCTGGCCTATCAATCATTTTCAGATTTTGTTGTTTTTCATAATCCTGCCTTTATTTTGTCATAGGTTGGTATAGTTCTCCAGTTTTGTAGGGAGTCGATTCTGAATTAGAAAAGTAGTTTTCCAGGGATGGTATGTCTTAGTCATTCAGAACATGACTTTATTATATGCAGACATTTGCCTAATGGAAAAATTATTCCTTGCTGCTGAGTGCATTTGGTTCACGCTACCTGCCAAGTGAAAAAAATTTCACTTCTAAGCCCCTCCCATCACTCTCCCCAGCCCCCACATTCCTTGGCATTCCCCCCAAAAGAAGACATGAAGCGTCATATACAATTCTACATCCTGGCTCTTTGTCAACTAGGAATTGTTCTATTCTCTCTTTTAATTTGCCACTTCTTTTTTAAAAATGATTTTTTTATATACAGGTTTGGAAATTTTACTATAACAGCTCTCTTAGAGTGCTCATATGTTTTTGTAATTATAGGCAAGGTCAAATAGTGTTTGTACTTGTTCTAAATTGCTGCTATATAAACAAAGATAAAAACCATTTGAGAGAAACGTTTAAGAATTAGAAGATTTATAGTCAATACTCCACAATGAACATTTTTCAGCTTAGCCATGATGATGAAATGGATGGGTAAAAATAAGTTTCTGACTAATAGGATTTTGTGAATTTGTGTTGAAGTGGCAGTCTGACAAGCAGGATTTAAGAGGAAAGACTGTTTTATTGTCCATGTACAGGCTTCTGCTTGAGAGCAACAACTTGAATTAAGGCAAGACATTTTAAGTTTTTTTTTTGTTTGTTTGTTTGTTTTTTTGCTATACGGCACATGTTCTTGCCAAACTGAGAAAGAGAGAGAGAGAGAGAGAGAGAAATCACTCCCCAGGAGGGATGACCATGATGCAGTCTTCTTTCCTCCAGTCTCTAGTTGAGATATTGGGCATGCAGATACATGTGTCTGGCTTCATTTTCAAACCACCAGGTGTGGGCCTCAGACCATGCAGTTGGCCATGTGGGATCCAGCTCCTTAACCTCCATGCCACGTGTGGCCCAAGGCAACACTTTTATGGAAAGTGGAATATTTTAGGAGCACTTTTCCAGAATATATCTTAATGGACATTAACTGGGAAACAGTTTAAATGGCATCCTCTTTGCAACTAAGAATCTGTAGTAATGGAATCTCTTTCTTTAAAGTGGTATATGAACTGAGTTTCTTATTTGAATTTTGTAAGTGACCATTTTCTACATTTGTCTTCTTTTTCAGACTTCAACTTAGAGCAAATGTCGTTCAGATTTGGCCAGCATCTCATCAAACCCTCTGTGGTGTTTCTCAAAACAGAGCTGTCCTTTGCTCTCGTGAATAGGAAACCTGTGGTACCTGGGCGTATCCTTTATTTTTGTAAAGAGAGAAATATTAAAAATAACTCTCTGAACCTAACTGATCAGATGAATACAAGATTGACCTCCAGTGTCTGTCCAAAAAGGTAAGCAAGGAATCTCCTTTCCACCTGCTTTGGAGAAACCAGGTAAGATGTTACTCCCTTTTATTTTGAATCCAGTTGGTGGCACCAGTAATATGCTTGATCAATGTTGCAGAACTTCTGAGAGTTGCTTAGCAACCATGACTTTGGAGGTGAATTTTTGTTTGACCTTTTCACTACCATAGCTATGTAAATAAAATAGGTGCATCTGAAAGAGGACCTATGAATATCATGAGCACTTTGTTTTCAGTTTATCTATTATGAATTTTAATGGTAGGTTAGGAATAGGGTGGCACCTTTGAGATGTGCAGGAGGATTTGAGATAGGCTGTTTCTTGGAGATCATTCAAGTTAGGAGTTTTAATTAATTTCATACATATAAGTATGCTTACAGGCTTCGTTTTTTCATGGTAGAATCTGAAATAGCATTTTCTCTTGGAAAAAATTCTAGCTTCTATTAATAGATCATCATCCAGTGTCATTGGTGGTAGAATTGTTTTATTTTCCTGTGACCACTGAACTTGAGATCTTTCCTCCTGCAGACTTCAGTAGGAACTTCACTCTTTCATAGTCTGAGTAGCAGAAATTGGTGAAATGCTTGGAGGGGTTAGTTTTATGTTATTAAAAGTATTACTCATGATTGTGTGCATATAAATTTTGTACTGACTCTTCAAAATCTCCCCCCTTTCCACTGCCGTCAACTTGGTTTACTATGTAGAAGGTATCAAGAGTAAAATTTCATACTTTGAGACAATGAGATATTCTGAATATATAGGGCCGGCCTTGTGCCCTGGTGGTTAAGGGAGTCAGATCCCACATGGCTGACTGTGCAATTCAAGTCCTGGTCCCAACAGCTTGAAATACATGCTAAATGTGTCTGTGTGCATGCATAAAATCCAACAGGGTGGGAAAAGGGAGGTGAAGGGATTGTGGCATGACCATACCCTATTGGGGGTTGCTTTTTCACTCTACTGATCTCTGTGTCTCTAACTAGCACAAGTGCTCTCAAGCATACTTTTTTTTAAAAAAGTAATTCCAAATGTACAATTATGCCCAAATAGTATTTTGTTTGTTTGTTTGTTTGTTTTTTTATGAGGTTTTTGCTATAGGGCACGTGTGCTCACCAGAAAGACAGAGAAAGAAAGAAAGCGAGAACTCACCACCCAGCGGGGGATGGCCACGCTGCAATCCCTTCTCCATTCTCCTCTTGGGATCTTGGGCACGCATGCACATGCGCCCGGCATGAGTCTAAGCCACCGGGCCCAGGACTCTAACCGCTGTCAATTACATGGGAGTCCAGCGACATATGTATATGTATCTTTTGTTTTTAAGAGAGATTTTTGCTCTAGGGCATGTGTTCTCACCAGAGACAAAGAGAGACAGAAAGCAAGAAATTACCCCATGGAGGGGATGGCCATGCCACAATCCCTTCTCCTCCATTCTCCTCCCAGGATCTTAGGCATGCGTGAACATGTGTCCAACGTGAGTTTCAAGCTGCTGGGTCTCAGACTCAAACCATAGTTGCCCATGTGGGAGTCTAGCCACATAACCATATACTATCTGCTGGTCCCCAAAAGAACAATTTTAAAGTGGTATGCCAATTTTATATTCAGTTCTTCTAAAAAAACCTAGAAATTCTTGGAATAATAGAAACTTTATTTTTTTCTTTCTGCTTTTGCTGCAAGTTTGTGGTAGTTCTTTTCTTTGAAGAGTTGGTTTTTTTTTTTTTTATGAGTTGTCAAAAGAATATGTTTTAAATGCCAGCTTTAATTGACTTAGCGAGCAACAATAGGAAACAGGCAAAACTGTGAACTTAAATGAACAAATGCTAATACCTTCGACTGAGAAACTGTGAGGTCATAGAGAGATACCCCACTTTTCAAATGGGTAAAAATGGAATGGACTTTGTTTTGTGATATTGTTAGTCATATCTTCATCGTAACTTGATTTTTCTTGGGTGTTTTAACCAAGTCTGAAAGCGTGGTATGTAACACTAGGCGTACGGATACATTGAACTCAAGACAAGCGTAAATGTCTTCTTTAAGGAAAATAGTGTGCTGTGAATAGTGAGCAGTTAATGGATAGTAGCTAGTTGTGTTCCAAATGGTTCTGGAAATGAGACTCTGTTTAGGAAATGTGGCCAGATCAGCTGCCTTTTTTGACCTATTTCCAAGGATATGGGGAACATTTTATTAAAATGAACAAACCTCAGTTTCTTTGGAAGCTATCAAGAAAGACCCAGTCCTTCCTAAGGATAAGGACGATGATAAGTGGAACATTTTTATAATCAGTCTGCTGTGAGGCTATTTTCCAGCTACCGTGCTTAAAATGGTCTCAGGACCAGTAGATAATGTATTCAGACAATCCTTTCTATGTGATGATTTTGTAACTTTTTATTTCACTTTACCTTTGTAAACTCTGCGAGGTTACAACTGTGAGAGGAATCCTAACAAGGTACTCCTTCGCTTCTAGGAAGCTGTTATTATTTTGTCCTGAGATTTGGGAATGGAAACTGTGGACAGCTCTGCCCACTAATATTTCATAAAGTAAATGGCGAGAGTCTGGGGGGAGCTTTTATCTATCCCCGAGGGTCTTTTCTGTCTGCCCTAGTCTTGTCTTTTGGTGAGGCCATCAGCTTTCAGTAGCTTCCCTGCTGCTGGGTTCCTGCAATCCAGGCTACACGTCATTCTAAACCATGGCTCTGATCATGTCATTCTTTCATTCCATCTCTAATACACCACTAATAACTAACTTTTATGAAGTCTAAACTCCGTAGCAAATTTTTTAAAATTTTATTTTATTTTATTTCAAATTCTTTTATACATTGAATCACATTATTTAGCTTACAAAGTGGATATTCCAACATGTGTACATTTCTCCCCAGTGCAGTTGATAATGCTATAAACTTATCTTCAACAGGTAATACCCCATTTCTTTATCCCATTAGCATAGTTTTTAAACACTTTAGGCCCAGCCTCCCTCCTTTGCAGCTATTTTCTAAGTCTGCATTGTCCTTTCCCTTGTCGTCTTCTTCGCCTCAAGATCTTCCTCATGTTTTTCACTTCAACTAAATTGTTTTCATACTTATCTACTCTCTTAGAGAAAAATATTCTGTCCTCTTTATTTGTGACACATGGTTCCTTAATCACATTTTGACTCATACAACATTTTATTCCTGAGCTCATGCTCTGTTCCAGGCACCATGCCAAACACTTATCCCAATCTGCGTCTTGTCAGAACTGCATTCATTCCTGTTTGTCTCTGTACTGAGCTATTAGTTCCTGTGGAAAGGACTTTGGCCTGTCTGTCTTTCTTCTTTTTCCTTGTTATTCTGTCCCCACCCCCTCCCTTTTTGCTGTAGGGTGCATACACTCACCAGAGAGAGAGAGAGAGAGAGAAAGAGAAAGTGCAAAATCTCCCAGGAGAGGAGAGGATGACCACAACGTAATACCCTCTCCATTCTCTCGGGATGCACCTAGCATGTTTTTCAAGTTGTGTCTGGGACTTTAACCATGAAATTGGCCATGTGGTATCCAGTCACCTTAATCACCATGCCACTGGCTAGTCCCGTCTCTCTTTTCTTAGCATTTGAAAGTACTATGTTGACTGAATTTAAAGTGAAACTATATACATCAGAAGTATATGTGTTGTTCCAATTAATGCAATGATACAGTAAAGGTCTCCTGAAATCCTACTTTTACTGTATTACCATGTATAGAGACAGGTCTTGCCACTGTTTTATTTCAACCTTTTTTTTTTTTATTTTTTTTTGAGAGGTTTTTGCTATAGGGCACGTGCGCTTGCTAGATAGAGACAGAGAGACAGAAAGCGAGAAATCACCCCCCAAGGAGGGTGGCCACGCCACAATCCCTTCTCCTCCATTCTCCTCTCAGGATCTTGGGCACGCATGCACACACGCCCAGAGTGAGTTTAAGCCACCAGGTCTGGGACTTGAATCGCAGTCAACTACGTCGAAGTCCAGCAACATAGCCATTACGCTAACTGCTGGTCCCTATTTCAAACTTTTTAATATTATGTCCAGTCTGTATTTTCTCAACTTTCCCTTCATAGCATTTTTTGTTTGCTTGTTTTTGGTTTTGTTCTCAATGAAAGAAAGAACATGGGAGAGAGAGTATAGGAGAGTGAGGCAGGGGAAAGGAAGAGAGGAAAGGAGAAAGAGGTATTTTTGATAGGATCTCATGGTGGCATGATCCTCCTTCCCCTAGGCTCTCAATTAGATGGGATGACAGGTGCATGCCACAAAACCTGGCCTGTTTAGTTTGGGGCAGCAATCAAACCCAGGTCTCTCGTACAGACTCGCTTGCGTGGTCTCACCTCTGCTCTCAGCGATCTCACACTGCTGGGCAGCAGCACCCTCACTTGTGCCACTGCGGCCAGGTTTCCTTTCATTTTTTGTCAGCTACGATTCTGTTCACAAATGTGTGTTATGCCTGTAGTGAGTTAAGTCTAAAAGCAGTGAACGAGTTGATAACAGATGGGAAAAGACATTTTTCTATTTTTTTTCTTGCATGTTAATTTATCAACGGACAAGTTTACATTTTAAGGGCAATATATTGGCATTTTTATATAAAATAGAAGCCTTTCCTTTGTATTTTCGACAAATTCTTAAACAGCATTTAGGTGACTTTGGAGAATGTGCCATTCATAAGCCTTATAAGTGTCATCTTTGAACTTGTGTCCTTTCTAACATTTTGCTGCTTCTCCTCCCCACCCTAAAGCCCTTTTTTCTTAGGGCTTTGCTCGCTGACTTCTTTATAGCTTTCCAAGGTGGAAAAGAATTGTCGGATCAGGGGCCAGCGATTCACTTTAGAGGCAAGAGTGTTTGCTTCATTCTCAAAAGAGCCACTTCAATCTCTCCTTGTCCCCACCTAAGGCAAACACTT